CTTCACAGTAATTCGAATTATAAAATATTTTGTAATTTTACAAAAAAATATAGTAACTCAAATTACTAAAAATTTTGGTAAATCTACAAAGTTTGTTATTAAAATTTAATAAACAGTTACGTAAAATTACAATACAAGTAAGATTTATACTCTAAGATTGTAAAATTACACCGCATCTTAGCAAATTTTCTCATATGTATTAGAAAATTACTCAAAATGTGTTATAATTTGAATTCATACACACTGATTAGTAATTTAGCCATCTCATGTTGAGTAAAAAAATGGTAATTTTACAAACATTTTTTACAGTGTAAGTTAGGCTAAATAGTCTTATTTTCATCCAAGGAACGGTCAAGTTGTCCATCCTTTTCAGGGACGATTTTGAATATAGTCAAGCTGATTTAAAAACGAACTTCGTTCATTTGAAGCTGTCTTTATATATGGTACCTTCTTCTATGCGATGTGTAAGAGAAAAGAGGTTATTTCAACATTCATAGACACACGCAATGTGAAGAGAAGGCTAGAACTAGAGTACAGAGGCCGTTCATTGTAGGATGGAGAGCCAGTTCTGTTTTTCTCTTTTCTGGTCATGCAAAGTCGGATTTATGAATGAGTTAAATTACCGTGTCTAGCGATTTCTTGAAATTATTCAAATCGGCGCCATCGAAACGACGGAGAATGATCATTTTTAGAACACAAGTTTCACAGTTCCTCGAGTTGCGGTTTTAAGAGATGACAAGGTGAATTCTGGCGGTGATTTAACCTTCAAATTTATTTTTAATTGAGTAATATCGATAATTTGCTTTGAATAATGTATTACGGATCAAGGTCCGCTGTTACTTTGTTGTTATAAGTAAGTTTTTGGTGCTTGATTCAAATCAAGGTTAAGAAAAAGTAAATAATGACAAATTTCTTACTCCTCAAAAATGTTAGGATTAGTCTGATGGCTCTTCATTCGTTCTCATAGTTCCTCAACCGTATTAACTGGAGCCCATAAATCAAAATCGCACGGATTAAAATCTGGCGATTGGGCGGTCCATGCAACTGGGTCATTTTGATTAATCCACCGTCCAGCACTTAACCAATCTCGAATCGTTCGAAAGCATTCAGTAAATTATTTAGCACAACATTTAAAATGCATTAAAGTAAATTTCAATAAGCTATTTGTTCCGGTCCAGAATTTACTGAAAATTTTACAATACCCAGTTACAAAAATTCAGTCAGTGATGATAATCTTTTGAGGCTGTAAAAATTGAACTTTTTGATGCTGTAAAATCAGTCTGCGAGAGTTAATTCAGAATTATTTGTAACGTTCTCCAAAAGTGCATCTTCAAAGTTCGCAGTATGATTAGGTTGTTGTCAATTAACCAAGATCTGTCATGCTAAATTCTTGATTAACATGATACGTCTGTTTGGTATGAGACGATTTTGGAAATGACCCATATAAATCCTACGAAGCTTTTTAAATAAATGAAATTCCACAAATTTAGATTTGCATTGCAAGCATTTTAAGGGGCCCAACAAAATTAAGTTTACTGTAAAAAAGGGGGTCAATCATTGCACACTATTTTTTATATTGAAGAAAAAGTATTCAACTACAATATGTGTAAATTTCAGACGTTAATATTAATGAATGAGGCGATTTTTCGAAAAAAAAAAAAAACTAGCTTCCTCTTGGTCGTAGGATAACATTTTTTTAAATTCGTGAAAACAATGTCAGCTTTCAAATGGCAATAATGCCATTCCGATTAAATTTAAACGATAAGAAAAATAACTATATTTTTTTCGGTAGATTTTTCGCATATTTCCAATTACATATTTTGCAATACGCGCACAATTTGCACAGGAAAGTGAAAAACTCTGAGAGACAATTTTAAGCCCAAGATGGGTCACGTAAGTGCATTACTCTATGATTTATTGAAACTTGAAGAAAATGTATTTTTTTCGAAAAACTCAATTTTTACAAAAACTATCTAATATTTTGCAATTTTACAAAAATGCACTTATTCTACTTGTCAAGGACTACATATTCTGAAAGTTTCGTAAAAAATGTTTTGTTGTTTTAAAGATATTGAAGTTTAAAAAAATTCGATTTTTAGCCGTTTTTTGCAATAACTAATACATTTGTTTATCAATTGTCATCAGGCTGGGTTCAAAATTTTTGTTATGAAAAGTTCTACAATTTTGTCTAAAATATTTTTTTTCTTAAATGTTTACTTTTTTTTAAATGAAAAAAACTGTTTTTGCGAACTTTGGACGCCATTTTGAAATTATAACCTCAACTTTCGGCTGGAGTAAACTGGTTCATTCAATTTTACGGAATTTTTCTAATTTTTACGTATTTTTGTTTACTAAACTAAATTTTGGCAAAAATGAGGTATTTTCAACAATCTGACTGGAAATATCTTTTCGTTTTCTATGCGTTTTTGAGAAAATTATATTTTAAGGCAAAGTTTTCAACAAAAAAATAATTACGGAGCTTCATTATCATTACCAATCGCAACAAAGCTGATCGCTAAATCAAAGTTTACAGAATAAATATTTATTCTGTAAACTTTGGTTAAACTAACAAGCTCCTAGCAGAAGTATAACTTATTCTTGTGCTCCTAGTGTGTGCACCCGTTTGGTTCGATAGCAAGCGGTGATATCGTATGGCATTGCATTGCAGCACATAGCGTGCATTGTGAACGTATCCTTTAGTATACCTTTAGAACTATTAATTGTTCAAGTTAAACATTTACGTTTGTCAAAACTTTCCATATGGTACATATTGCGTTTAATAGTCAAATTCCATTTAAAAATCTTTTTTAATATCTGACATTGACTTAAACATTTCCATGATGAGTTTAAGAAGGCGTAAAATAACTGCCGTGGCAACACAAAAAAAGAAATATTCTTCAGAAATCAGTAATAAATTAGGGAAATTAAAGAAACAAAAAATAAAATCGAAAACATTTCTGTTTGTGGAATCCTCCAGTGTTAAAATCCGCATTATACATCACGTTCCCGCAATTTACTTAAGAATTTCTTTTTGTTTGGCGAAAAGAGAGGAGTTCTGAGGAGCTGACCGTGGGTTTAACCATGGATTCCAAGAAGTTGGAGCCAGTTCGCTTACGAGAATGGGATGACGAAATACTGAGAATTTCTTCATGGGGCATATTAATTTTGAAGGTATGCAGGTCCATTTCAAACGGGCTCGTCTAGGCCTTCGGAGAGGTATCCGCTGAGAGAGTACCGGTGTGTTCAAAAGTAGTGAAACACGAATGGGATGAAGTCGACTAAAGTTTCAAATCCCATGATTACTGGTATCGATTAGAGAACTTTTTTTTTAGTTCCCCTTGTCGTTATCATGTCACATATGTTTTCTTTATCAGCAAAGGATGTATCATTTTACGTCGAAAAAGTACTGGAAAGTGCTAATTTGATCCAAAAATAACTATAAAAATGATTGGATTTGCCACTTATTAGATGAAAAGTTATATTATCGGTATTGTTCTTTAGTCAATCATTTCATTCGCCCAACTTAAAAAGTACCTAATATAATTAATTTCGGTATGTGTCACTAATCACTTTCTCTTGCAATTTCTAATAATACAATAATATTGTATGACGTACACTATTTTGAAATTGTAAGATAATTTCACCTCTTTTCTTGCGATTAGTTAACTATCATTCGACTACTGTTTTCATCAGTGAGTCCAATTGTGTAGATTTAACTATTTTATCTAGATATTAAAATGAAACTTACTTCTGTAGCTAAGATTGCATACAATTTGGAGTGGAATCTCAATTGCACCTAAAGAAAAGATATTAAAGGACTAATTGATAATTTCTGATAGTGGATAAATATTTAAAAATTAAGAAGGACAAAGATATTAGAGAAATTATGATTATTGTTCGGACATACAATGATCAATTTTGCGTCAGTTTTGAATGTACATATTGTGATAGTAGTATATAATACTAGTACTTCATAGATAATGACTGTTCGGTGATTCTTGCTTTATGTACTTGTTTTTCTAAAAAGTTGATTTTTTATTAAAGCAGTAGATAATCAAACACGTTTGTGGGACATGACTCCACTTCAGTTGTCTTATTTCTGGGAATATATCCACGCAAACAAAAATTATCACAACAGTTAATGAGATAAAATAATACTTTTTAATGGTTTTATTGTTGATTCTTGCAACATATTTTCACATTTTTTTACAGTTGTAAATTTGTCCTATTCTTCCCGTCTAATTAAAAAAAATATGGGTAAGCCTTACACCGAACCTGAATAATTTTTACAATAAAATAAAGAAAAAGGTTAATTACGGTGAATTAATAATAATATTTTGATAATAAACTCTCGATGTTACAATACCTGGTGGATTAAAAATAGAAAAAATGCATATTTTCGAGCGTGTATCCTCTTAAACGAGAATTGCGAATTGAGCTAATAATAAAGTTGTTTTTCTTTCTGGGTGAAGGCAGTTTAGAAGGACACTATAAAATTATGAGGGATTGGCATAAAATCATGAATGAATGAATGTTCGCGATCGATAACTGCCGTAGGGGGTAAATGCATGTATTATACAGCGAGTGAATGCATGATATTCCATGGAGGCCCATGATAACATATAGTTAATATCAAAACCCTTGTTTGCAAGTCATATCTAAAGTCATTTTATTGGCGGAGTAGATAAGTGGAATAAATACAGAATTGTGGATTTAATGCTGTAAATAGGGGATTATAGTCTCTGGTTCAGGCTGCATTCATTAAATTTTTGGGTGAATATTAAGAAATACGTAGAATATGTATACATAGTAGAAGAAGGTAGCAAATACTTATTTTTAGCGTGTCATTTAAGTTCCACGAATTTTATTGACCATTGGTCCATTTAAAGTTTAAAGTACCTTAAAAATATCATACCTACCAGGTATTCTTTGTAACAAAACAGAATCTAGGTAGGAATTTGAAACATTTCATAAATGAATATAAGTAAAGTTAGCTTAGGCATATAAATCGAATAATTTCTTGATCTCCCCTTTTGGTAGCAAGGGGTAAAAGTACCCCCCTTACAAGTAACGGGTAATTTGCATATTTCTTGCTTAACTTTTTTCTATCGCCAATATGGTCATGGTCATTGCTGTCAAACAAATTTGATTTCTTCTATTTTTTTTGTAAATTTTCCGCATTTTTTTTCTCTAATTCACTTTTGTTATTTAAAAATGAATGGACCATTATTTTGGCTCCAAAACATTAATTACTGTACTTCTATCTGTACTTCACTTAAAAAATATACGGGAAAACTATTGAGAAAATCGAAATTTTGAATTTTGTAGGAAATTTAATTTCGAACAACTTTTAATTCATACTTTTGTCGAAAAAATGCGTGTTCATCGAGATATTGGCAGTTTTTGGACAAAAAACGCGAAAAATCATATGAGGAGTTGATTTTCAAAACGCAGTTTTCGATTTTGGTTTTCAAATCGCATTTTTTTCGTATTCAAAAAAGTTTTACACAAGATATCACAAAAAATATTTTCTTATGTCAGGTGATTTACACTTAATAATTATTATTATCTTTATAGCACCAATAATTTTTCACATCATATATGTCTATATCTCAAAACGCTGTATGTTGCTGGTGGTGGTTTTATGTCTAACTTTCCTGGACTATTAGTTTACTTAGAAAATAAGTTAAAAAACTTGGTAAAATATAATAGCTTAAGAGTTATCTAAAAAAGGAAAATATTGAAACAAAATGTTATCTGTCATAGCATAGGTCATTTAACAAGAGAATCATTTTGTCTATTAAAACGATTTCAATCTTTTTTATCTGTATTATTGCAATATGTGATTATGTATTGTATAATATATCAAGAAAAACTAAGGTACAGCTTTATATCTCTAATATACTAACTAGTCTTATTTGGTTTAGCTGAATTTTTCTCCGTATTATTTGCAAATATATTTAAAAGTCTTAGTGGCTGAATAGACAGTGGACATTGAAAATGTGGTTATATCCAATATTCAACTTTGAATTAAAAAAAACTTTCTGTGGCCTGTATTGCCCCCAGTCTGATCCAATAAAATTTAGAACAATTTATTTCAATGTGCAATACTGATAAATTTAATACCTGCAATGTATTAATCAATAAATGTCAGTATTTTATCTTACCTAATTATTTTAATCGGGATCATCTGTCTGCACAAAGATAATTTAAATACGTAAATATCTATATCTTTGATTGCACTTAATTTCTTTTAAGTATGTAATATGTACAGTGTGGCCCACTAAGAAAAATGTTTTTGGACGGCGGTTCCGAATAATTTTTTTTAATACAGATCTAGATGCATGTACTTTCTTTTGAACATGCTGATATCTTTTTAAAAGTGATTTTCTAAGGGATAATTTACTGGTACATGTACTCTAAATAAATTATATATTTAAATATGTAATGGTGATCATATGTTTTATATCGATGTACGTCATATATTATCAAATCAACCGCAACTCATTACAATGAGTTGCAATTTTTTTAAACGATTTTATTTTCCAAGGACTCATTAAATATTAAATATGATGAAATATTAAACCATCCCGAACCTGTCACTGAGTTGCTTCAATATATGAGTTTACATTACTGTTTTGTACTGTTGTAATTTACTTTATATTCACTTTTGCATTTTTATCGTTGAAGACGACATATCGAAATAAAACAAGTCATACTGTATATTATTTACGCAATTACCTCTTGTGTTATTTTATGTAACATGTAAAAGTCAAACGACATCCACCAGGAAATCGACTTGCGTCATTTCCAGCGATCCCAAGTAAAACTGCTTGTAACTTGATTGAATCGAATAGAAAAATTGTTTACTCACACGACTTGATGTTGATTGGAAACAATTGTGGAGTTATTTTTAAACCAATTAATGTCCACGTTAACATTGAACAAACTACAACTTTTGTGTTCTCGTAACTGTGACACGAGCGCTTAAGGCATATTCAGCAATGAAGCGGATATAGGGTGACCATAGGCCTACAGATAATCCCTAATTTTTCGGCGTTGAAGTTTTGCCACTAGTTGGTGAATGGCTTCGCAGAAGATAGTTTTTTTTTAATAAAATTTCCTCTATTCTAAAAGAGTTAGCCATTTTAATTAATGACAAGTAGGAACTATCGCAAGTATGAATTCCAACAGCAATAGTATACTAAATGTACTACTGTGAATGATTCGACAAGAACTATATCGAAGTTTAGGATGTAGATTAAAAAATACCATTGACTATTTTTCGAAAAATTATCATGTAGTAAGTCTGGAATTCCAATATCTGAATGATAACAGACAACCGCACAGGACGTGGACCATTACAAATACCGGTAGTTATTATTTTCCACATCCTCAGTCCTCCCTGATATTAACCCAAACCGATAATTTAAATCGAATATTGAAGAAATACATACAAATACCTTTGTTTACAAAGGATCAAGAGAATTTAGAGAATTGAATTTCCCATCGAAATGGCTTGTTTATAAAATTTAAAAGGAAAATTTTATGCAAAAAACCGTAAAAAAAAAAAAAAAAAACATTATTAATTTTAATCGCCGTTCTGCTGTTTGAATGATTTTGATTATTGGAAATTATTATTAATATTTTAATTTAATTTGTAGCACCAACAAGTTTCCTACCACGTGGAATATTATCAGTTTCTCCAATACTAAAGAATGGTGATTTATATGAAATTACAGACCTATTTCTGTATTATGTAATGGTTACAAATTATTAGATATTATTATTTATCGTTTTATACAGGGTGTCTCATAATTAGCTGCCAACCCTGAACAGGCCGATTCTATGATCAAAACTAAGTAAAAAAGTTCATATGAACATGGGCCCGGAAATGCTTCCCTTGGGCACAGGGACCCATTGAAGAGGGAGGAATGGAAATCATTTTTTTGCAATATCTCTCAATCGCGTTGTGATAAATGAATGAAATTTGGTATACACAGCTAAATTTTGATGAGCAATTTGATGGACTAATCCATTTATTTCCACAAGGTCCATTGGGGTGGGTACGGGGGGGCCCTTGGTACTTTGCGTGTGTAACTTTTTCATCTTTGACTTTTTAACAAATTGGACAGCAAATTCCGTTTTCCCGAACTGTTTTACGTTAAAAAGGTACTCTTGTTTCAAATCGTTATCTTTAACGGTTTCTGAGAAAATCGCTCTTGAATTAATCCCACTTTGGTCAATTTCATAGTAATTTAAACAAAAAAAAATTTTTTGTTTAAATTTAATCTAATTTTAATAAAAAAATAATAATAAAAAATTAAATTAAATAAAAATTAATCCTTTAAATGGAAAAGAGAGGAAAGGAAAATTATTATTATTATTTTTTGTTTAAATTACTATGAAATTGACCAAAGTGGGATTAATTCAAGAGCGATTTTCTCAGAAACCGTTAAAGATAACGATTTGAAACAAGAGTACCTTTTTAACGTAAAACAGTTCGGGAAAACGGAATTTGCTGTCCAATTTGTTAAAAAGTCAAAGATGAAAAAGTTACACACGCAAAGTACCAAGGGCCCCCCCGTACCCACCCCAATGGACCTTGTGGAAATAAATGGATTAGTCCATCAAATTGCTCATCAAAATTTAGCTGTGTATACCAAATTTCATTCATTTATCACAACGCGATTGAGAGATATTGCAAAAAAATTATTTCCATTCCTCCCTCTTCAATGGGTCCCTGTGCCCTTAGGAAGCATTTCCGGACCCATGTTCATATGAACTTTTTTATTT